GAGGCGCAGATTGTTTTTAAGTAGAGCAGATTAGCTTTAATTGGTATATGAACCTGGGTCATGTTATAACTCAATAACATGTTTAGGTGAGACCCAGTTTGTCTTCTCGTGGAGATGCATAAGATCCCATGACATTACTTTGAAGAATAACAATGTACAAAAGCCACATCACTGACAAAGAAGCAGAACATCGAGTCATCATCACATTGCTTTTTGTGGGACCTTGTAGCACACAAAATTGTAATTGTAGATCCAAACTTGGATAATCATGTGCATGCCAAATGTAATGACTTACTTTTGCTCAAGTTTATCCTCTAGAAAAAAGTGCAAAGTCCTGACATGGCTTTCCATGAAGAAACAAGTTCTCAGGAAAATAAGCCAGCTATCAACTGCTGTATGCATTGCTGCATTAGAGATAGACTGGTTTGGCATGAATTCTCAAAGGTTGGATATATAGATGTATAAAGTTGCAACCCTCACAGCCTTGGCTCAGTCTCCAACATTAACGCTGCCTAAAGATCAACTCACCTATTCTGACATAGGATACCTCTGCTTGCTACGCCTCTGTGAAACCAATCAGAGATAAAATAGTCTGAGCTCAAACTAACATTTTACCAAGCGGTGCTGAAACCCTTAGCTCCTGATTTCATTTTCACCTGTATGATCCATTTCACATAACGAAGATGAAAGACATCATGCACAATCAACAAACTTGCAAAGAGGGAACTTAGACGTTGGAATATACAAACCAGATGTATTTCAGGGGACTGCTTTTGGCAGAGAAGAAGAGAGAAATTTGTGACTGGAACCAGCTGGTTAAATTTTTCTTTCTTTCAGCCTCTCAAGAAGGAAGAATGCCTGGTGATGAGGCTGATTAAAAAGAATTAATGGGACACTAAGCGCTCAATGGACAACAGAAATATTTGCTATTTGCTGAAGATGCAAGAGATCAATTAAACAACAATGGTCTCAAGTTAAAATCCTTACACCTCAAAGGCACATCAAGGACTTTATACTGTAAATTCCTTTTATCTACCTTTTGGATCTGAAACTGTACCTTTTTAACTTTATATACTTGTATGCTTGACATTGTATCTTTGAGTTTCCTCCAGTTAGCAGACAATAAAACTGTTTTCTTTCATTCAAGAAAACCTTGAAATTGACTCCTTACTGATGCCTTAAACCTTGACTTTTTATTAGAGAAAAATAGACCCTCACACTAAAAAGCATATCAGCCTTTGTTGTGACCTCCTGAGAATGTTGAAAAGGAAGGGGCCATTTTACCCCTACTCAACTGGTCGCAGCAATACTGTTTATATCGAACATATTATCATTACAAGGAAATTGGCAAATTTGCAGTTTTTCTGTATTGTTGTCATCAAACCCAAGCTTTAACAGCAAGATGCAGGAGAAAGGCAGTAAATGAGGAATAAATTGCAGTAATTAAATTAATGCTTAATAATGTGCTATTACCTTAGGATCTGGACTTTATCAGATATGAGTTATCAGATGAGTATGGGCAGCAGTAATCAGGCTGTTGATTTAACTTGAACTAATGTGCTCCAATCTTTTGCATCAACTTGACCAAAAGAATGAACATTGGTTGTGACTGATTGAAAACAAACAAAAGAAAAAATGCACTAACCACTAACTACAAAGCTAAAATTTCTGTTCAAGTTTTAGCAAAAGCACAGCTCCTCCTTAAGGGAGGAAAAGATTGGCATCAGCTCAGGACACATCAGTGATGAGTAAGTCAAATTGCTCAGTAAACTCAAAGCAAATATCAAAGGCAGAAAGTTAGTATATATATATATGTATATGTGTATATAGAGTTGAAAATATGAAACAAGATCAGAAAATACTGGAATTGACCAACAAGATAGTCAGTAACTTAAACAGGAAAGATGTGTTAAAACATATGTTAAGATATGAAAGACCCTTCTTCAAAAGAGTAAGCTGAATGAAGCTTCTGAGTGAAAAAAAAAACAACAGATATAGTGCAAGTGTGCCAATTAATTTGTCAATCAATTCTTGTTTTCTCACCTGTTGTATATTTCTATTTAATTTCAGCTATTCATTCACACCACTACTAATCCAAATTACTTCTAGAACATAGAACATAGAACATAGAACAGTACAGCACAGTACAGGCCCTTCGGCCCACAATGTTATGCCGAACCTTTACCCTAATCCTAAGGTCTATCTAACCTCCACCGCTACCTTATACTATCATCCATATGCCTATCTAATAGCCACTTAAATGCCCCTAATGAGGCCGACTCCAATACCCTCTCCAGTAATGCATTCCACGCCTCTATCACTCTCTGAGTAAAGAACCTACCTCTGACGTCTCCCCAATATCTACCTCCTTTCACTTTAAAACTATGTCCCCTCATAAAAGCTACCTCCACCCTTGGAAAAAGTCTTTGGCTATCTACTCTATCTGTACCTCTGATCATCTTGTACACCTCTATCAAGTCACCTGTCATCCTTCGTCGTTCTAAAGAGAAAAGCCCTAGCTCTCTCAACCTTTCCTCGCAAGACCTTCCCTCCATTCCAGGCAACATCCTGGTAAATCTCCTCTGCACCTTTTCCAACGCTTCCACATCTTCCCTGTAATGAGGTGACCAGAACTGGGCACAATACTCCAGATATGGCCGAACCAAGCTTTTGTATACCTGGAGCATAACTTCATGGCACTTGAACTCAATCCCTCTATTAATGAAAGCTAACACACCATACGCCTTCTTAACAAATCTATCCACCTGGGTGGCAGCTTTCAGGGAACTGTGGACATGAACCCCAAGATCCCTCTGCTCCTCCACACTGCCAAGAATCTTTCCGTTAACCCTGTATTCTGCTTTCAAGTTTGTCCTTTCAAAATGAATCACCTCACACTTTTCAGAGTTAAACTCCATCTGCCACTTCTCAGCCCAGCTCTGCATCCTATCAATGTCCCTTTGTAACCTAGAACAGCCCTTCACACTGCCCACAATGTGACCCACCTTCGTATTGTCTGCGAACTTACTAATCCACCCTTCCACTCCTTCATCCAAATCATTTACAAAAATCACAAATAGAAGAGGACCCAGAATAGATCCTTGTAGTACACCACTCGTAACTGAGCACCATGTTGAATATTTTCCGTCCACTACCCCGCTTTGTCTTCTAAGGGTCAGCCAATTCTGAATCCATCTAAGGGTCAGCCAATTCTGAATCCACTTCTGCCTGCATCTAGATTTCTATTCACACATAATTGACATAAATGGAAATTGCAGAGCCTAAATCAGATGGAGGTAGTATAACCTTTTAGTCATTTTATTATGCTTGTCATTGGGGAAAATCATTAATTATAATATAGTCCACGTTTTGGACACATAATAGTTCCATCATTCAAATATTGCAATAAGATTGGAGATGTTATCTTATGGATGAGACCTGAAGGCATCCATTTGTTTCTTCAGGTGGATGTACAACATCCCATGACACTACTTGAACAAGACTAAGTAGTTTTTTTTTTCAAGATCCATCCATTTTCACTCAATCAAAACATGGACATTCATGTTGCTTGCTATTTGTATGAGTGTGCTGTGCCCTGACTGCTGTCTGTACCTGCAACACAACAATGAGTACATCTCAGAAGAAATCATTTCTTTTTTTAAAAAAAATGAACAAATGTTTTCCCTTCACAAGGAATGTGAGGACATAAAGGAAAGGAAATGCGGAAAAAATTTACGAGACACATTCCTGGAATGAGAAATTTCAGTGATATAGATAGGTTGGAGAAGCTGGGCTGTTCTCCTTAGTGAGAGAGAGAAAAAAATGGGACATTCGATAGAGGTATTCAAAATAGTGAGGAAGAGTCAAGAACCAGAGAACACTGATTTAATGTGATTGGTAAAGAAGTAACAGCAACATGAAGAATATAGTTCTAATGTAGCGAATGGTTGAAATCTACAATTTTAGTACTGCCTGAGAGTATGTTTGAGAAAAGAGAACTGGATAATTATCCAAAAAATAACATTTGCATGGCCACCAGAAAAGACAAGGAAATGGCTTGTTGCTGCCAAGAGTCAGATTGGACACAATGGAACGAATGGCCTCTTTTTGTTTGCAGCCATTTTATGATTCAACAGGTCTATATTGCAAATGTGCTTTCAATTAAATTCTTCATAGCTTCCATTCTCTGTGACAACATGATTCTGACTATGGGTGGTTCCACAAGAAGCCGTAACCCTCAGGGATCTTGTCCTAAACAGTGCCAACCCGAAGATGACTGCGTGAATCTTTAGGACATTCAACCGTGGATTGCATCATGTTGCACAATTCTATGTTAGGACAGCATCAGCATTTGTGGTTTCCGGGATCAATGGAAATCAGGCGTCAGAAATATGCCTGACATCTTCTGTTTTGCCTCGGATTGTTTCTGCCAAATGCAGTGTAGTCCTAACCGAATTTGTCTAACTCAGCAGAGAACATAGTCTGTATGACACAAAAGCACAAGAGCAGGAAAGAGTTCTCTTTTTTTGCTGGATGTAATGAAATGTATTTAAACTTCTGTTGCAAATAGCATGCAGAGGAAACCACTAGCCTCTGGGTGGTATCTTACCCCAGAACAGCTTTGTGAAACGTGGTTTTAGGTTTAAATTCTGCACACTGCTGTCCAATCTTTTCTTTATTTAACGCAAATTCTAAAGAGACTAGTACTCAGAATCCATTGAAGTGATCAAATCTCCTGACACGTACAAAACCTGAAGTTCAATCAGTTTTTTTTAAGAAATGAAAATGAAGTTGATCTAAATGCAAATTATTAACAAGCTGTTATTTTCTTAACTTTTCTTGGTGGAATTAAGAAGTACTAGTTGCAGTGGAACACACTAACAAATTTTGGAATAAATGCCACAAGAAAAGTTTCAAAACGAATGCTGTAATTCTCATGAATTATTTCCAAGAGAACTAAATTCTTGCTGTCTAATCAAAGATATGAAGTGATCACTTACAGCTGAGGAAGCGCCTGCAGATTGAAACTGTCCGTATCATGTACAGAATGTGTTCTCATGCAACGTTTCTTCTGTACAGTGTACTATTCATTCCTGTTCATGCTTACAGAGGAGACAAGTAATGAGTTCGAGGATCAGCCTACTCATTGGAGGATATTGCTACAAGCAAATGTAGTTCTTCTGTTAAATGACAGATGAAATTCCATTTCATTGAGCTCGCCCAGCCCCTCCCCTTGAATCACTCTTTCCAAGGACTGCATAAATGTCAATTATGCTGTTGCCAGTACCTGATCTAAAGACTCAGTCTATGGCTTGAAATAATTAATGGAGACGTTATTATTGGAATTTTTATGTCCAAGTCTACTGGGGGCTAACAGACTACACAAAGTGACTTACACAGCCAAATCAAGCTGCATTGCAGTTCTGTTGGTTCCATTTATATAAGATCCACATTCTCAAATATTTTAAGATATGATTATTTAATCTCGCCATATCTTGGAACCGCACTCAATTCTAAAATATACCTGTGGAATGACAGTAAAACAGAAGGTAAATACACCTCATTTTGCTTTTCCCACTTCCTCTCACTTTCAATTCTTTATCCCCACTCTGACTTTTGTTTAGATTTCAATTTGATCACATTCACCTCTATGTTGCAGGACAGAATCTCCAAGAAGAATGAATCAAACCATCTCCCCTTGATATTCAAACACATTACCGTCACTGAATCGCTCAGCATCAATCTTTTGATGGTTATCATTAGTCAGAAACTTAACTGGATCTGCCAGAGCAGGTTAGAGTCTAGGAGATTTCTGCAAGGAACTTACCTCCTGACTGCCCAAAGACTCTTCTGCCTACAAGGATGTAAGTCAGCTGTGTGATGGAATACTTTTCACTCGCCTGGATGAGTGCAAATCCGTCAACGTTCAATAAGCTTGACACTGCGCTTGGTGAAGCAGCCTGTTTTATGATCATCCTATCCATCACCTTCACAACAAACACTCAGTGAAGCAGTTTGTTCCGCCTGCAAGATGGTCTGCAGCAACTTGCCAAGCCTCCTTCAACAATACTTTACCAACACTCAAGCTCTATCATTGAGAAGGACAAGATCAGTGGAATCATGTGAACATCAGAACCTGCAAGTTCCACTCCAAGCCGCACACCCTCCTGATTTGGAGCTACATTGTCGTTCTTTCACTGTCACTGCATAAAAATCCTGGAACCTCTATTCTAACAGCATTGTAAGCATACCTGTAAAGATGGGCTACACTCTTTCAAGAAGAATTGTTCACCATCTCAAAGACATTTAGGGATGGGCAACAAATTGTTGGCCTTGTCCGTGATGTCCATATCCCATGAAAGAACAAATAGAACTCAATCTGTTATGTTCCATGAATTACTGAAAATATGTTGTGCACCGGCAACATTTCTCCTGACTTTGTGCCAAGTTGTTTATGCTAGTGCTAATTTGGTTTGACAGTCCTATTAACACAGAGGCTCAGTAGCAATAACTGGGAATAGTGCCAAATGAGGATGGATTGAGAATCCGAGGTGGCATGGGGTTGTGGGGGAGCTGGCAGGGGTTCATGTAGCAAGGATAGTTTGGAAAAAATTGATAATTTTCTTGATCCTGGATTATCATCTTGGAGTTTGTGAGTTCAAAGTTATGTTTGTCATTTATAATTTAAGTCAATGCAAGAGAGAGATAACCACAGGCAGGGTGATTCATGTAGCTGAATTTCATGCAGTATTTAATTGAAGGATTGATGGGGAATGCATACCCACCAATGTCAGCTACCACGCAGTGGGACAGTGAAGGAAGAACAGGTTGGCGGTTGTGATAGCAAGACTAGGCAGGAATGGCACACCCAGGACAATTGCAGACCTTCAAAAGTTAGTCCATTGAGGGTGGTGGAAAGACCAATGATTAATTCTATGGTCAGGATCCACTAGCAGCAGATCATGAAATTCTGCCCTATGAAAGTTACTGCAATGCCTTCAAACCCAATTGGTTCAGTAATGTCCTAAAAGACAAAACAAAACTAATCAAATTGGATTTGATTCTAGTCCATGCCATCAAATCAAGAAGGTGCCAGTACATTTTCATGGCAAAAGAGATGAATAATATGTTACAACTCTTAACAGAAAGTATTTTTTGTGAAAAAAGTGCTGCCAAGTTTAGTTTTTAAAAGTTTGTAAGATTGATATAAGAAGAAAAGCTTGAAGCAGAGAATCATATATTGGTTACAGTGCTGAAGGTAGCCATTCATCCCATTGTGACCATGCTGACTCTCTGCAAGAGCATCTCAGTTCATTCCACTTCTTCACCTTTACCACCTTTTTTGATTTGAGTGTTAAAGCAATTATTTACTGAAAGCTATGATTGAATCTTCCTACACCACATATTCAGGTAGTGCAAGCCAAATCCTAACTATGCATAGCATAAAAAAAATTTTTCCTTGCTTCCTCTTTGCCACTCATTTTATATTAACATTCTTTAGTTCTCAACCCTTTTGCTAATAGGAACTGTTTCTCTTTATCTCACTGTTTAAACCATTCATGATTTTGAGCTCATCTACCAAATCTCCTCCTGCCATTTTCTTCCTCATGACAACAATCCCAGCTTCTCAAATCCATCAATGTAACCAAAATCTCTTACGTCTGGAAAAAATTCTCATAAACCTTTACAGCACCCTCTCTTAAACAATCCTTCCTGAAGTGTAATGTTCAGATCTTGACAAAATATTCCAGGTAAGTTTGAATCAGTTCAGGGTCACCATACCTTCCATGCTACAAGAGAGTCAAAGAGTTTTTGTAAAATTGAAAGAAGCACTTTGGCCTATTGTATCCATGCTAATCATCAAACAGCCATTTTTCTAATCCTATTTTCCAGCACTTAGTTCATAGTCTTGTATGCTATGGTGTTTCAGATTTTCATCTAAATATTTCTGATATGTTTTGAGAGTCGCTGCCTCTGCCACCATTTTAGGCAGTCAGTTCCAGTAACACAAAGCCTTCTGGGTGAAATTATTTTTCTTCAAATCCCTTCTAAATTCCCCGCTCCTTACCTTAAAACTGTGGCCCCCTAGTTATTGACTCCTCTATTAAGGGAACAAGTTTCTGTCTATCCAGTCTTTCTATACCCCTTAGATCTTTATACACCTCAATCAGATTCCTCCTCAGCTTTCTCTGCTCTAAAGAAACAACCTCAGCTTATCAAGTCTCCTTTCATAACTTAATCACTCCAGCCCATGTAACATCCTGATGAATCTTCTCTGCTCCCTCTTTAGTGCAATCACATCCTTCCTATAGTGTGGCAACCAGAACTGCACACAGTGCTCCAGCTGTGGCCTAATTAATACCATATACAGCTCCCTGCTCTTACAGTCATAGCCTCCCCGCTCTTGTATTCAGTGCCTTGACTAATAAAGGCAAGTATCCCACGTTCCTTCTTTACCATCTTATCTACCTGTCGTGCTGCTTTCAAGGATCTATGGACATGTACACCAAGGTCAGACTGATCTTTTGCACTTCCTAGCATCTTACCATTAATCGTGTATACACACTCGCCTTATTAGCTCAAAATACATCACCTCACACTTTTTGGATTAAATTACATTTGCCACAGTTCAGCCCGTCTGACCAGGCTGTCTATGTCATCCTGTGGTCAAAAGCTTTCCTTCTCACTATTTATGACACCACTAATTTTCATGTCATCTGTGAACTGACAGCTCATACCTTGTACATTCATGCCATTGTGTATATCATTAATATTCACAGCAAGCAGCAAGTGACCTAGCACAGAACTCTGTGGTACACCCCTGGACGTAGGTATCCTGTCACAAAACCACCCTTCAACCATCACCCTCCACTTTCTGACACTAATTTTGCACTCAATTTACTAAGTTGCCCTGAACTTTGTAACCAACGTGAGACCTTTTTAAAAGCTGAAATCCATGTAGACGACATCAAATGCACTACCCTCACCTGCACACCTTCTCACCTCCTCGAAAATTCAATAAAATTTGCTCGACATGATCTCCCCTTACCAAGCCATGCTGACTACACTTGATGAGTCCTTATCTCTCCAAGTGGAAATTAATTCTGTCCCTTGGACATTTTTCCAATAGTTTCCTTACCACAGATATTAGATTCACTGTTCCCTGGTTTATCCCTACAAACCTTTTTTGTACAATGGTACCATATTAGCTGCCCTCCAGTCTACTGGGCTCATTGTATGGCTAGGAAGGAATTGAAAATTAATGTTAGAGTCCCTGCAATCCCCTCCTCAGCATCCCACAGCAATGTAGGCAACAGCTCTTCTGGCCCTGGGGATTTATCCAATTTTAAGCCGGCTAAAACCTCTTATACATCCTCTGTCTCAATGCTAACTCATTCAAGAATATCACAATCCCCACTCTTTTATTTACATACTGGTCTTATTCTTCTCTACAGTAAACATGGAGCTAAAATTTTAAAATTCATTTAAAAACCTCAGCTATATTTTTTGGCTGCCCACACGGATTACCTCTTTGGTCTTGGCTTCTTTCTGCCATCAGTACGTGTTGAAAGGATTTACAAGTTGATTCTGACCCTCTTTGGCCACATTAAGAAGGCATCTTTCTTGGCCATATAGTATTGACTGAGACTTGAAGCTAGAACTTCTTGCTTAGGGATGCTACCTAGGACAAGAACTCTTCAAGGTTACAAATAAAAGCAACAGTCTCCATCCCATGAGAGGTCAGTAATGTTTCAAAAGAATGAATTTGTGTTCTTCTAAAGGTAATGCAAGTTATTTACAACATTCTGAGCATAATTTTGTTCAATAATAATGAGGAAATACAATCTTTCTTGTCCGAGAATTAAACACACTTTAGCAAGTATTGACAGTGCTTGAAATTCCTCATTGCTTTGACTGGTTACCTTCTCTAAATATTTGCTTTCATAAGGATTAAAATGATATAACAAATGATGATTATTTATTCCCTGTTCGATTGTCAGGTCAACCTATAGCTAATTTCACCCCTCTCCATGACCGCTAACTCAGGTTGAACAGAATTGTTTTCAACATCAATGTACCATTTCACACCAAACCAA